GTGACTGGAGCGCTGTGGGACTCAGGGAGTGCTTTCGAATGGCACATCGATTTTAGCCGACCGTCTGACACACTCATTAACTAACACACTGACAGTCTGAGACGCTGACTGACACACTGACACAGTGACAGTCAGACACGCTGACCAGCTGACACGCTGACTAACACACTGACCCCGACGGTCTGACACGCTGACTAACACACTGACACACTGACTGTCTGACACACTGACTAGCTGACACGCTGACTAACACACTGACCCTGACGGTCTGACATGCTGACCAACACACTGACCCTGACGGTCTGACATGCTGACCAACACACTGACACACTGACACACTGACACACTGACACACTGACTGTCTGACACACTGACTAGCTGACACGCTGACTAACACACTGACCCCGACGGTCTGACATGCTGACCAACACACTGACACACTGACTGTCTGACACACTGACTAGCTGACACGCTGACTAACACACTGACCCTGACGGTCTGACATGCTGACTACCACACTGACACACTGACTGTCTGACACACTGACTAGCTGACACGCTGACTCTCTGAAACACTGATTGACTGACGCTCTGAATTTCTGCCATGCTGTCTGTCAGATACACGCTCACTTTCTGACATACCAGCAGTCTGACGCACTGTTTGACTGTCCCTGACTGTAACACGACGACTGGCTCAGGCACCTGTTGACACACTTACTGACTGTCTGACACACTGCAGCACGAAACCGAACTGACATATTGACTGATACAGCAGCTGGCTCGTTAAGGCCCGGGCTGAGTGACGCTGTGTGTCTCGGAATTTGAAAGGCAAATTGACAGGAACACAAAAAAAAAGACAGTCGGGCGGCGACAGGGACAGCCTTTACTTAGGGTCCTAACAGCCTGTGTGTTCTTTTGTGTCCCTTAGTGATTACATCATCAAAGAGAAGACGGTGCTGCTACAGAAGAAAGACAACGAGGGGTTCGGCTTCGTCTTGAGAGGGGCCAAAGGTCAGAGGTCACCTCGAAT